GCCAAGCTGATTGCGGACTGATAGATTTCGTCACAAATGTTGCACTTGTGCTTTCCGACATTAGAACCGTGTTGAGAATGCGTCTTCATGTGGTTCTCCAGCTCTGTTCTCGATTTGCAGTTTTCGTTGCAATAAGCGCAATGCAAGCTCACCTGTTACGGGCGATTGAAAACGGACGTTTAAAATCGATGTTTTTTTTCTTTTTTTTTAAACTTTAAGCGCTCTGGATGATTGTTATCTCACTTTTGTCGAAAGGTTTGTTGGCTTCACCTGGTGCATCGTCCTCTTGTGAGCCATCAGGTCCAGTTCGTTTCGAAAATCGGTTTTCTCGCATATATCTCAAGCGTTCGTCCCGTTTTCGGTCGAATGCTTACTGCCGTCCGCCACCCTGGAAATGTACGTGGGCGACGTGCACATGGAACTCGGCGATTCCCTGTGGTTCCGGTTGAGGTGACTCAGGATCTGTAATCATTGAAAATATTATAATATTATCATAGTGAGCAATTAATGGTGATGGTCATCAATTGCGGGCCACTGCGCAGTGACTTACGCTCGAACTGTGATGGGTTTGTATATGCCTGTCCAACAAGAACTCGATGTGGAACGCTTCCGAACAGAATTGGCATTGGAACTGTTTGGAGTGACTAGCTAAATGTTGTTCCATGTCGGACTGCGTGTTGAACGTGGCGTGGCAAACTAAGCACCTCAACATCTGTAGAGCGCACAAATGGATGGTTAACGTCGTATTAATAAAATCAACACACAGACTAATAGACGAGGAAATACCGGGTGATCCATTCCGGGTTATTCAATAACATAATGATACTCATAATAAAAATGTTTTCTCACATAATTTTTAAATATTAAAAAACCACTTTTTTATGAAAAAAAATATTTTTATTGTTTTGATTTGGTATCATTTTTTAATGAAAACATGCATTTTTAATACCTCATTTCAAAACAGAATATAATTTGGATTACTTCGATGCATAAAAATCGAATTTTAAACTAATAGTCTATGAATGTTTTAAGTGTTTACCTATTTAATGTTTTGATGAATGATGAGTATATGATGGAAAAGAATAGGGGCGCCCCCCCACAATTTTGGTCCATTCATAAGTGCAGTTTTGGGGAGGACATTAAAATTATCTTTTTCAAACAATTTATATGGATCACCTCGTTTACCGTAAAATGTACACTTCATCTCATAACTCACCAGGTTCGCTTGGACCGGCGGTGGCGACCTCGCGGAGTAATGGGTGTTGCGCAGATGATCGATGAACTCGATTTCCGTCTGGAACAGCGGTCGAGACAGGCCCGTGCAGTTGTTGCAGCGGAACATGCGGTGTTCGCTGCCGTGATTCATGCTAAAGTGAACTTTGAGCGCTGACTTGGTCGGAAACACTTCTTTGCACAGCATACACCGGTAAAAGTTCTGAGCGTGCGTTTCCATAAGGTGTTTCTGGACGTGTTCGGACGTGGCGAATGAAGTGGAACACTCCTGGCACGAGTACTCGGCTGCGGCCATCAAGAAGTGGCCGATGACGTGCTGCTGGTAGTCTTCGAAGAGCGAAAACGTCAGATGACAATGCGGACACGGCAATTGGATCTTGTTGTTGTCGACGTGAATGCTGTTGTTGTTATTATTGTTGTTGATATTGTTGTTGTTGTGGTTGGAGATGCCTAACTGGGAAGACGGACGAGCCGCGGTTGGCCGAGGTTGCTGCAAGTGTTTGCTGTCGTACGTGTTGTGGCCGCCGATGCGTTCCTGTTTTATGTGACGTTGCTGATCGGCCGCAGAAGGGTCGTGGCCGGGCGACGAACGGGACTTTTTGCTGGTCGCATGGTTCCGCTGGTCGTCCGCCGACTTGTGCTTGCCCGACGACGTGTGATGGTGCTTGCCCCCACCGTGCTTGGATGACGACAGTGACAAGTCTGTGGGACCCGTCTGAACGGTTTCCTCGAGCAAGAAACCACTGCCACCGCCACCCGACGTCGAGTGTCGGAGTTGCGGTTGATGGTATCCGTTCGCGCCAACCATTGCCGGCCAGTTGAACATTGGCACCACGCCGCCGCCGCCACCACTTTTGCAGCCGTTGGTGTTGTTGTTGTTGCTGTTGCTGTTGTTGTTATTGTTGTTCTGTATGTTGTTGTTGAGGACGGAATTCAGATAGTGGGCGGTCGTAAAGTGTTTTTGTAACGAAGTGACGGACGGGAATTGGCTCATGCACAACCGGCACGAGTACGGAGGCAGTGCTAGGGCCGGCGAGTCAGCAAAGTTGAGCCACGGGAACGCGGCCGCCGGTGGTACGGCCGAGAAGATGTCCTCTTGCGGCTTGCCGTTGACGATCGCAGCTGTAAACGAGCAAAATTCTACGATTAGATCAAACTATATTATATAATCATGTCAAATAAAAGTGATTGACTTTGAAAATAAATGAGATGACTACTCGTATGAAAAGTTCAAAATGTACGTCCCTACCTTAACAAAATACCGAAAATAACAGTGGAAAGTTCCTCTTCACACACTCCAATCATTAAACCCTCTACATTTTACCTCAAACCCACAAACATTTCATAATTTATTATACCTATTTTTAGGTTTTGACCATAACCTCAATACACAATATGTATAGTAATATTTTTTGTCTAAATAACTAAATGATGCGAGTTACCCATTGCCACCAAAAGTTTTTCTTTTCCAGCTCACATCATCACATAATTATCACCATAGATATAATATTAACGTCTATCACTATCTCGTATCACTACATCACGAGTATCAACAATATTTACACACATTTTGTTAACATTTTTTTTTTAAACTTATTATTAACTTTGTAATTTTTTAATTTTGTAAAAACAAACTCAACAAAGTACCATCCCTTGTGTTCTAAATTGAATGAAAAAGTAGGAATTCGCTAGAACATCCCAAAATAAATTTAGTTGAGGTCATATGGATACCAGTGTCCTCCCCCTCCAAAAAAAAAAAATATTCAAGCACTTGGTTGGTGTTTGAGTGGTCGCAGAGTGTTTAGACACAAATAGGCAATATGCTTACAATGCTTGGTCTGGAAGTGTTGTTGTAGGGCGTCCATACTAGACACTTCTTTGGTGCAGTACATGCAAATGTATTGGTTCGGCGTTTTCGGTGGTGTCGAACGTTTCGAGCTCCGGGAGTTGGACGAAAGTTGCTCCCCGAGATGATGCGTCGCAGTGTGATTCTGTGTATAGAATAATAATTATTATTACATTGGTTGTTAGAAAATAACAATGTCATTACGCAATAGGTATTTCAAGTATAATGACGGAACACCGGTAGGAATTGTGTTGACTGAACGTCGGCTAAAACGTTATTGTTCGTTGCTGCAATTGAACATACCTACTTTCATAGTTTCAACTTTCAACACATAATTTTTTTTTATTGAGTTTTAAGACTCCAATGTCAGAGGTCACTAGGCTGAAGGTTATTAGTCAGATTTACTGTGGGGGAGGGTACGGGTAGTTTGAAAAACTTGTTTATAGGGTGAAAATTCGTCATTAAAAATCCGAGTGGTCAACCGGGAGTTGGAGATGCCGGCCAATGTTTCACTTTATAACACATTATAGTCACTACGGCCAACTATAGTTCCATACCAGGTCCGCCTCAAACAAATTATTTTTTATGGAAGAATAAGTATAGAATTCGTCGATATGGTACCATTTTATTATGTATGTAATGTCATTAAAATGTTTTGTACATAGATAATACTTATTATTATTATATTGATATTCTACATAATATTTTGAACGGTGTGAAAATATATTTTATATTTATACAGTACCATCTAGCGGTGATCACATCAAACAAATAAAATACTCAGAAACACTAAATGCAACTTTCTAGTATTGACAACTTTCATTCAAGGTGACAATGTTTTGTTTTTTAATTTTTTTATTACAAAATACTATAGTTAGTAATTAGTTGTAATATAACAACCTAAATATAAGGTGTGATAGTGTAATTTGTAATTTATTATAAGGTACTTGAATTTATTACCTCCCATATTTTTAAAACAGTTACAGTTACTTGAATTGCCTTCCGATTTGAAAAAAATATAATTTGCTCGAATTGTCTCATACTTTAGGTAGTGACCCTCTTGTACTCGATTCTAGAATAATCGTCTTCGATGCATATAATTAATCAAATTCTAGTTGGAATTCTAAACATTAATTTTTTATTATATTAAATATAGTGTATTAGTTAGTGCAAAGCTGCAGGGTTATCAAGGTCAGATAACCGTGTAGTATATACTATATAGTTGTCCTCGCTCATCGATAACACTTACGCATCAGTTATGTATTTTTTTTTTCTATTTAAGACTTACACATTATAGATTTCATTATCAGTAATTTCACAATAATTGTATTAGTTATTCAATTACATAGGTACCACTAGGGTATAAGGCACAATGTCATGTGTCCATCGTTTTAATTGCGTAATTATTGCAGTTATAATAATAATTATTAGATATAAGTAAGCCGTCGAAACAATCAGAAATAATTGTGGTCCACTATGTAATATATTTATTTTATTCGTATAACTAAATTTTATACGGTCCGAAAGTAGTCGAAATGAAAAGTTCAATAAACTGGAAAACCTTCAGGCTGACGGGTACCTACCCAACTATAATATGGTTTACGGTGAGACTATTACATAAAGAGGGTATATGGGTAATGGAAAACCTATTTCGGAAATCACGTACGGGTATAAACGCGTTTACCGACGTCGTGTGTGAATTTCGAGGTTTATCTGCAGTCGCGAAGAGGGACGTTAGGCGTCGGGGTGGATGTGGGGGGGGGAGTGGGGACACGTCTGATATCGTTGGGGGGGGGGGAGCGGGAAGTGGTCGGAAAGGGTAAGTACATTTCACGGGTTTATAGTGACTGCAGCGGACAATCCCATACACACACTATATTTATACGAATAAAGGCAATTATTTTTTTTTTTTATTTGAAACTTTGTAAATGTATTAGTTACTTTGGTTTTACATAACTGTTTGAATTGTTCAGTATGTTTAAACATATCTATCAGCAAGTTGTGAGGAAAAAGGTAATAATTATTTTATTTTATGCTCTCAACCAGCAGACTAGGGTGGTTGTACAAGTTGTAGAAATGTACTANGGGGGAGTGGGAAGTGGTCGGAAAGGGTAAGTACATTTCACGGGTACCGACCTGAAGCTCGTCGGGTTTGCGGAATATCTGGGTGCACTGGAGGCATTTGTACGAGGGACCGGATATCTGTGGTGAATTGGCCCGTTCCGCAGCCCGTTTGTGATGGTTCTGCATGTGCGACGTGAGCGCGGCCGCCGTGCTGTAACCTCTGTTGCAAACCGTACACTGGAACGGTTTTTGATTGTCGTGCGTTTTCATGTGGATCTTCAAGTGATCGCTACGGATTTGCATAAATAAATGCGGTAAAAAAAAAAATAATAATTAATAAAATGCGTACAAATCGTACCTATAACCGATATTAAGTTGCAAAGCAATGCGATAATATAGTTGTATTTTGATCGAGCCTACACAGTGACTATTATTTTCTAGATATTTCACAAATTATTATTTATAAAATTAGTGTTGGTTCCATAACTTTATATAGGTAGGTACTATAAAAATAGTTTGCTAAGATTTGAAAAAAAATTGTTATTTCTAGTGTTTGTGAGTGCGCCCGTGTGAGGACACACGTCTGCTTATTCTTCTTCTTCTTCTCTTCTTAGTTCAATGTACTTGCGGCCACACGTCCACTCGGCGGTGGCTGCACACAATAGTTTGTTAGCACATACATACCTATATACACTATATATACGCGAACGCGGAGACGCGCGAGCGCCGACGATAATATTCTTTAGCATTGTATTCGGGAGCACGTCTGCATGACATTTTTTGGGTGGGCGTGCTTATATATATACTTATAATATATATATATATGACAGGTATACGTGTGTACCTATATATACGCGTGTGCATTTTGTCCGTCTATTTGACAAGTTCACGACCGTATACACATGTACTTATACCATTGATTGTGTGTGTGTGTATGCATTATACGTGTGTCTCTCCCCGTGGATAATTGTCGGACGCGTGGCCATCGGTAATTACGTGAAAAAAAAAATAAAAATAAAGAAAATAACCTATTGAATTCGGCGAGTATATTATAAGTCAACTAGGTACCAAATATCTTTATACGACGTACGTGACTATGAATTCACAATGGAAAACCGTGCGTCGTAGTCGCCGCGTGTACATATAGAATTGTGTGTGTTATATAATATATAGGTGTACCTGTATATATAAGTGTGTGTGTTTGTGTGTGTTATTATGTGGTCGCCGGCCGATACGAACAAGTCTCCGATAAATATAATAATATGATATATGATATAGTCATTACGTTCGGAACACATATAATATAATATTATACACCTACAATACGCACTCGCACGTCTCACTGGTAGGTATATAGGTACAACTCACCTCCTTGAAAAAGCATGGTCACATTGAGTACACTTGTACTTCTTGTCCCCCGTGTGTAATTTCACGTGCCGGTCTCGGCTGCGCTTGTGTTTGAACAGCCTCCGGCAGAATTGACACTTGAACGGCATTGATTCTCCATGAGTCTGAAATCAAACAACGAAAAATAAAACAGTCACTAAACAACTATAGTATATAATATTATTATTATTGGTATCATCATCGTCGTCTTCGTCATAACCATCATCGTTACGATATAATATTATGTTATACACACAGCGAATGTGCGACCGTTGCACTAGACTGGACTCTCATAACCCGACAACAACCAGCTTGGATAAGCGACTAATTTATGTTTGTTTTTTAATTTTTGTTTTAATTTAATTTTAATTAATATTTGGGGATTTATTGTCGATTGTTTATTATTATTCGAACGGACATTGAAAGTATTGACTGAAGCTGATAACAAGTATGATAGTGAAATAGGTGATAGGTGCAATTAAATTCTCATGCCATTAGCCGAAATTCATTTTGATTTACAACATTTAACAAAATATTAGTGGAGGTCATCATAATAGATATTATAATATTCCCAAGGCACCGAACTAAGTTATCGGAACGTTTTACAAGCTATTATAGGATTATATAGTCAATGAATGAACAAACTTTGTGATTAACTAATTTTGATATAAATTAAAAAATTTACATAATGTTTTACGTATAATGTTTTCTTCATACCTTATAAATACACTGTATTATAACACATTAATATATATTGAATTAGAAACTGTCTACATTCAGCTTGCCAATAGAAGACCAGACCTTAGATCATATACAAAGTATAACCTATAACTCTCCGACAGCGGAAAATTTAATATTTTCCGATTTTTTTCAGTGTTACACCGAAAACTTCCTGAACGTTGTAGCCCGTAGCAGTGGCACAAAGTGACCCCCCCCCTACCCTCCTCCCCAATCAGCCATACTTATGAATGTATATTACCCCGATAATTACTATAATTATTTAGTCCATATGCTGCTCATAAACATAGGTAGGTGCCTATAAAACTATGTTACTAACAAGACATGTATACTGTTAAACAAATTATGTGTACATTTTTAAACGGTGATTATGACTATATCTATTATCTAAAATATAGATTCTATATATTTGGTTTGTTGTGTGCCCCCTTCCCATCGTTTGTTTCAAAATACGTCCCTCGTCTGTCGGTATATAATATCTAATCGTCTGGACGTCTTGTTATTGTAAACAAGTGAGAACATTACAACGACGGCGCACGTACCATCTCCATACAATATACGATACATCGTAATAATAATATATACATAGCGCGCATAGTAATTGGCGAGTATATTATCGTAGGTATCTAGTTTATAGCGACATTGTCATGTGGTTTACGGAGAAGTTTTTAAAATTCATACTGCGATTTCGTAACGAAGTTTAAGCGCAAAAGTTTTTCATTCTTCGTCTACGTCCCGCACCGGTGACCTCACAACGTCCACGCCGCCGTGTGCGAATTTTGCTGACATTATACGGATATGCAGGTTTGAGATTTGGATCGCTGGACGCCGCGATGCCAGTGATGATACAACTGTTTCAATATTATTATGCGCGCACTGTATACACCCGACGAATTTAACGGGTTGGGTACAAAAATGATCGGTCCCGACAAAAAGGTTTTTTTTACAATTTTTTTTATTACATGTGTACTGGACATTGTACGCAATACGTTTGGGTGAGATTTTATAATGCGATTGGACGAATATTATTATCGACATGCCTTTACTTGAAAAACCGTGATACACATATTTTGCAGCACGCGGGGTTTATAAAATGTATTGTTCTTATGATGTGCTCTTATTTTAATGTCTAGTGTACCCAAAACATACTATTATGAAATAAAAATAAAAAACCATTACATCATATTAAATCGTTGGAGATTTTAAAAGAAATTTAAGAAAATCTCATTTTTATCGAATTCTACATGAAATTCTTTATTCTCGTTTTTCTCAATATTTTAAAGCCACTGTGGAGTATTTAGTTTTAAAAATTAAGGTAAATTATTTTAATATTTTGATTTTTAATTAACTTAGGAATATAGCTTATTTTATTTGTTCTCTGAAAATCCTAAAAATGATAACTTCAAAATATCATTGGTAATAACTAATAACCCATATATGTATATGGTACCACATAATACTTGAACACTCTTCCCACCAATTATGGAAAAATTAAAGTATATTGTCATGAAAAGCAAAACACATCTCACTTAGCAGAGGATCCAAAGAAGAACAAAACAGGTGTAACAGTGAAGACTGATGACGACGTGACGATTGGGTTTTTATTTTACGATTAATCGATAATATTATTGTTATTCTACGCGCGCGCCGGATTTGGGTCGCCGCGGTGAAAAGCGCGACGACGAGAGCACCTGTTGTCGACTCCGCAGCTGCAGGTGTGACGCGGTCCACGACGTCGCACGTCGGCAGCTAGCGTATAGTCGGTATACCTAAACATAAATAATAATATAATATATACTTAACTATTATTATTATTATTTCGTTGGACTACGGCGCAGCGATGGTGACCGCCTGCACCGCCGCGGATTCTGGGCACGCGCCCATCCGGTGAACCACGTCCGCCGAAGGGGGAAAACGACTTTAAACTCGATTGCACACACACACACACACACACACACACACACACACACACACACACACACGCAAGCAAGCACACTTTATACAAGACATCGCAACCGCGTTCGAGGTCCACCACCACCACCTGTCGGCAGATGGATATCTACAGTTGTTATTAGTGGAGCCGAAGGTGTCTTTGACGGTGTCGGCGTCGTGTTTTATTTCGGTTCCGTATCTGCTGCTATATGGCTCTTGTATACGTTTTATACGATTATGTTGTTATAATATAACGCGTCTTAGATGACGGCTGTAATATATAATATCGTCTACATTATTATGTATCTAATATCAAATATGTCGTCGTGGCTGTAATAAATGTATACATACGTATATACGGTATACGTATACGTGCGTAGGCGCTTTTTTTCCCGACCGTGTGACCCAAACGGTTTTTACGAGTCTTGCACCGTACACGTAGATATATAGTGTTATTATTTATTACTAATTTTATTATTTTATGTCTTCATCTCTAGTCGGCTTGTGATCACACCGTGAATTTAGTCCGCGCGCGCGAGTGATGTAAGAAAAACGTGACGGCTTTCGGGAACCGACGACGGCAATCCGCGGTCTACACCAGACGGGGAGGATGGACCTTAAGACTTCGCACGTCCGCGATAAAAAAAAAAACCATCTCTCGCCGATCGAGTTTACAGGCCCGTTTCATTAAGTATCCTACTCGACCCCCGCCCTCTGAGAGGAGGTTTGTTGGGAAAAAACGAGTGACGAAGACGTCTTACACTTATAGTCTAAGTCATAGTTAAAGTCGTTCGTCTATGTTATCACCGACCACAGAGTCCACACCGCTCTCTGCACGTGCAACAGCAGTGCCATGTGTATACCTATGTATGAATAATACGTTGTATATGATAAGTCCGCGATTAAAAAGCTAAAAATATTGTCTAGATTTTAAATTTATTATTTTTACGGAATATTATTATTATATTATATTTACTATAACATACTACTATTCAGATAAAAGTAGATACCTATAATATAGATATTCGTCATTCGGTCAATCACCACCCGGTCGTAGGACATATTATTTTGAAAGCTGGTTGAAGAACATCTTAAATAACACTTAAAGGGATTCGAATCGGACTGTTTTTCATACTATTAGACTTCTATATTTTCATTCCAACGTACTGAACACTGATCCATCTAATTACGCAGTATGAGTTTTGATTCCTTACGATCTTGTCTTATTTAGATTAAAATAAAAAATTTTAAATAAAATATGTGGACATTCACTTATACAAATTTGACTTAAAAAGAGATAAATAGTAAATGGAAAAGTTATTCGTAAGATCTAAAGTAAACTTATTAAGACGTTCAAATCCGTTTCAATAACAAAATTCATAAATATTTTATTTTTGTAGGTACCTGGAGCTTAGAAATGTAATAAATGATTCCTTATAAGTTGATTTTCTAGAATTAAAAAAAAGTTTGCCACATTTTCATCATAATAAATAAATGGTATAGGAATTGTCCGAATATAACACCTATTGTTAAAAACCTATAGATGCTAAATAGTCAACTGACCTATTTTCGTGTGTATCAGAGTGTTAGGTATATTATATTTTGTAGTATTGGTTTTATATTTTGTCACCTTTATTGGCACGATGCCACGATTACTAATGTCTAACTAAATAAACAAGTTAGGATCCTTCCATCCAAAATATTTTTTTTATTATGGCTCTTATAATTCTATATATTATAACAGTTTTTTCAATTTTATTTTTCCCGAAATCGTTCCTTTGCAAAGTATATACAACATTATGCGCCGTATGAACGCATGTATGTATAAACACCGACATAACCACTAAAACCACGAGAAACTAAAATTATTACCGAGATTTAACAGTTGACTAACAAATTTTACCATCCAACTTATGACTAGCTGCAGTATTAAAGTGCGCTGCTTGGGGAAAACTTAAATGTATAATTATACTGTAGGTTGTTACCCAATGGTACCTATATAATCATTAATCGTATAGTCTCCTAAACGACAACGGACGACAGTGAATTTATCATTGTATATTTGTAATCTAGTTGGTATGAAGCGCCTGATACGGTGTTTACTATTTTGCCAACGACAAAAATTTACACGATTTATCGCGAACGGAAAACCATAATAATTTAAACATAACTGTTTTTGTGTACAGTGTGTTTTATAAGTATAAACTGTACTGTCATATATTATATTATTTACAATGACGTTTGGCTTTCACAGTTTTTCGTCAGCCCGCTTTCTACGAAATAGAGGAAAAATTGGAGCATGATAATAATATTTGAGCTATGTCTTTTGAGTTTTGTTGGTGCAATGACAATAATGGGACGATTCGACGATCGTTTTCCCTAATGGCTAGCGACAATAATATGTAAACGGTGTGACAATATTCAGATTACGGCTATTAGATACGTCATGACGAGC